TAGGCGCGATAATAATTCTTATTTTTGGAGTTTGATATGGTCTTGGATCATTAAGGGTACTTTGGACTTTTTGCATTGCTGGGTGATGACCTGATACTACTTAGGTTTGTTTCGGAGGAGAGAGAAGAGACTTTTTACCATATGAAGAATTGAGGATTGAATATTGAAGCCTATCCAAGTGTTGGAGAATGAAGACCTTTAATGAGCAGAAGCGGTTGGAGATCAAATTTCACCATTTATGTGTAATGTTTAATTATTATTCTAAGATTATTTTGAACAATATGAGTAGCAAAAACCCCCAATGCTAGGGGGTGTCCCTGATTTGACTGTAAACGATTTTGATTCCTGAATTTCTTTAATACAATAGTCTTCTCTATTCAATTTATCGTGCAACATTTTCATGCTTTCCTGATTGGACCAATTATGATTGATTTACGGTTAACAACCAGTTGAACCGCGATTGTTAAGGTTTTTATACGATTAGGCTATAGTAGATATCACCTAGGACTAAGGATACCCTATAGGTAACCAGTAAAATATTGATAACATAAGTGCTTGGTTTCATCATAATTCACTAAGGACTTAGGTATTAGGATGAAGGACCAAAGGTTTTCCCACTAAGGACTTAGGGGAAAACAAACTAAAGATTCGGTAGTTAAAGGTAATGAACTTGTTAAAGAGATCAAGAGTACAGGTTATTACAGGGCCAAATCACACACCTACCCTTAGCATTCTCCTCATATCAGTGAAAATCCACTTGATATTCATGCTATTTGTTAAGTGAAAATTTCACAACCAAAACCCCAAATCAAGTTTTGTTTAATTAAACTACGAATTTAACTCGATACTTGCATGCAGTCCTTGAGATCTACATTCGGGGAATATCCCTATTATTGCAAGAGGTAAAAAAGTACACTTGCTATTTTTCCCATCAAAAGCCCCTGAGGTTCAAAAGATCAGTGGATTGTAAAAGTTAAGGTTTCACATGGGTTGAAGCTTCTACATCAAATAAGCGTGGTTCAACTGGATTTTTCTTTGAGCGCGTGTATCAAGAAGATTAGGGTTTATATCCTATCATACTTGGGTTTGTCAACATTTTCACTGGATGTTTGTTGGATAGCAAGGCATGATATAAGGAGGGTGTTATGAATTCATTGTGATCAAGGTCATTATCATTCTCAATCGTTTGATCACTTATATTGAAACTTAACTTGGATTTAGGAATTGAAATTAAGGTTTCTTCAAGACATGGCACTTTTTGAGATCATTGGTTACCAAGTCAAAGGTTTATGGATTGAATTGCAATATTAAATCATGATTCAAAGAATAATTTTATGGGTTCATCGTTATAATTGTTGCTTGCAATGCAAGTAGATGTAAATTGAGTGGTTTTATTAATTGAAGATTGGTTTAGAATTTTTCATCCAAGTTTTATTTGCGTTCAAGTTAAGATTTGAAGGAAATTCATATGGAATACAAATTACAGGTTGCAAAAACACCATGGTTCATTGAAGTCCGTCATGATTAAAAATCATTCAAGTTCACCTATGTTTGAAGTTTTAGTGTTTAAAGGAAAAAGAAACAAGATTCATTCATCTATGATGGTTCAAAATAATGATATTCAAGAGTTGATTTAAAGTTATTCAAATTTCTCTCAAAGCTTAACCATTTCATCCAAGTTTTTTAAAACATTACATCATACAAAAAGTACAAAAGAATAAAAATCCATAAATCAATTGCTAGTCCTAAACCTAATCTTCCATCCTACTACATTCTTCAAGTCTCCACCAATTTTATGTGTAATCCTATCTTGCTACTGTTCGCCAATACCATGCCAAAAATTGCATCGAAAAGCTTTGATCTGGCTCCCAAACGTTGCTGAAAACCCTGCTTCAGTGCAATAAAAAAAATAGTAGAACACATGTTGAGTATAAGAGCCGAGCAGAATAATTGAAGATAAAAATAGAAATTCAAGTTACACAGTGCCAACTCATAATTAGAACCAAACTAATTTAATCTTCCATAAAATTCCAACTTGCAAAAAAACAGAAAATCAGAAAATAAATCACAATTTTCCAACTCAGCCAAACTTGCTAGCCAAGCCTCAAAATTAGAACAAAAAAATAACAGATGGTGCACACAATTCACTCACGATTTTTCTTCACCCAAATTCCACAAAATTAGAGATCAATCCTTATCCCATTCACCTCATCCTTATCCCTTTCAATCCAATCTCTCTTTTACCCCTCTTCCTTTGCTATATAATTCATCCCTCATTCCTCTCATTTGGCACACAATAATATACACACAATCACAGAGAGAATTCACGATTGAGGCTCACAATAATCAAAGAGAGCAAAAATAATTCACAAAAACACAAATAAATATCGTAAGCTTACCTTGAATAATTATCATTCTTTACCACTAAGAAGAATCACCAGAAACTTAGAGCTTCATCTCTCTTTGAAACCATTGCTTCACTCTATTCCACCATCTTCATCAAACTGTAACAATACATCACCTTCATCAACTCAATAATTTTTGCATAATTGGCAACATCACCACTGCTTCAATCTGCTGCATCATACACATCTACTATTTGCATCATCATAATCATCATCATAATCATCATCATCATCGATTTATCATCTTCACGAATAAGATCTCATACCAACAACAATCCTAAAATTCAGAAAGTTAAGAGAAGAAAGAGGAATCGATAAAGTGTACCTGAGCAAAATATTCGTGGACTTTGATTCATTTTCATTTCAATTGAAACGTCTTCGAAGCGACTCCAACATGTAAGCATTCATTCTTTCTTTGTTTTTCTGTAAATGTCATTATTGATGTGTTATGTTTGTTTGGACGCTTGCGTCCGTGTCACGAGCGAAAATTGTGAGGAAAGGTGATGAGCGATGGCGATGATAAGAGGAGATGGGGTAATTGCGGAAATCAAAGAAATAAGGATGGTGAAGATGAAGACAATGTATTGGAGGGAGGAAGTATCATTGATGATGACAACCTAAAGCGGTGACGGAACAGAGATGGACAAAGGTTGTTTGAGCCGCGTGGAGACGATGAAGAAGGGATTGATGGAGACGCGACGAAGAATGAAGTCGCAAGAAAAGAGGGAATCAATGAAGAAGACGACTGTTGAGGGAGAGATGAATGTTGTTGACGAGGAAAGAAAGAAGAAGCTCCTCTGTTATGTGTATCGTGAAGAAGAGGGGACTTAACCGGAAACCCTAATCCCATTTCAATTTTAGTTGCTTATTTTCTTTTTTCTTTTTTAATTTTATTTTAGTTTTAAATAATAAAAATATGAAAAATAAAGTGATAATACAAAATTAAAAAAAATAGTAATGCTGGATTGGACTTTGTGTTCATTTTGGGCCGAACTCCCACTCAAGCCCATGCCACGTATGTTCTTTTTAGAAGCCTGATTTGTACTAGAACAAAAAACATTGTTGGACCTCATTCTCCCTGGTCTGGATCACTGCTTACACCCCCACTGGCCCGTATCTTTTTTTGGAAGCTTTGTATAAGAAAAACTGCTCTGCTGGGCTCAACCCTGATGGGCCTCAACGCCACTTTACTGGACTACACCACTTGATTACAGCCCACACCCCTGGGTTCTTTATTTTCAATTTTATTTTAGTTGATTGATTTTATTAATTGTTTTGAATTGTTTTCTTTTTCTTTACATGAAAAATGACAAAAATATATTAGAATAGAATTTTAATTTAATTGTTTGTGTGATATTACCATGTTTCCTTAAGATTTTTAATTCAATTCTAATCTCTTGATTAGATTGAATTAATTAGACCTTAGGCTTTTAATCCAAGTATTCTAACTTAGGTAGATGTTTCTCCTTTTCATCCTAACTTTAGGACCACTGTACATGACAACATTAGGATCTTAGTCTCCCTTATACTTTTTCTTTCTCCTTTTGCATCTTTAAAACTGAAATCTTTTCTTAATTAAAAACTCAAAACACTTAATAAATGTGGCATGTATAAATACACCATGAGCCTTAAGCACATGCGAAGGACTTTGGATACGAGGCGACTGACTCGACCATTCAAAAGTCTTTCATTTCATATACTTTAGTATTGTACTTATCTCAAACACTTTCAAAATTAAGGAAGAAGTATTCAGATACCTCCGGCCTTGTGAGGACCATATGAGGTTTTCTCCCAACAAAAACACTCAACAAATTCAAACCTTTTTGCCTCTGGGCTTTTTCTTTTGAAAACCTTTTTAGGTAAGAACATGTTAATTCTTTTTTACTATAATGCGTGAGTCTCTAAAGGTTGAGTTGCGGTAGAATGCGAAATTAGCATCATTAATAAAAAACACAAAACAAACCAAAACACCTTTTTAGGTGAATTACGAGTGCCCTGATTCCCTATTGCACGAAAGTTAGTATGTAGGTATAAAGGTTCGCAACTGCGGCGGGCACAACTAATAAAAACCTTTCGTTATGTATATACTTTACATTCATGCATTTTCCCTTAGCTTGTTAGCTTTATACTTGGCACACCCTTTGATTAGAACAACAAGAGTGGATCTGTGGAGTACCACACACGTGAGGGGTGTTAATACTTCCCTTTGCGTAATCGACTCTCGTACCCGTTCTCTTGGTCGTGAGACCTTGATTTCTCCCTTATCAGGTTTTCTTCGATGTTTTCCTTTCCCTTCTGTGGGATAAATAAATATTCGACGACGACTTCATTGTTTTTCCTAGTTGCTTCAGGAATGACAATGTGTTTTGGAAGCTGGATTTAAAAGTCGAGATTATTATTAAAGACCTTAATCGATTGGATCATATAATGTCAAATTAAGAGGTTCCTCTTCCATCTAATTTATCTAAAATAAGGATACAAGCCCATAATTTAGTTTTTGGAAAACTTCATATTAAAGAATCAATGCTCAGGAAAAAATCAAGATGTCGTTGGCTCAATGAGGGAGGTTAAAATTCTAAATTCTTTCATTCGTTCATGAAATCTAGATTTCATCGAAATGGAATTTTTGCGCTTAACTCAAGAGATAAGCTGATAGAAGATGTAGAAGGAATTAAGACATTATCTTACAACCACTTCAAAGAGAGATTTCAAGAACCCTTACCTTGTAGAAAGAATTTGAATGGAGTGATGTTTAATGAGTTTTCTTTAGAGGATATGAATAGTCTTGAGCCACCATTTTCAATGCAAGGCATCGAAGATGTTATTTGGGGTTCAGTTGGTGACAAAAGCTCAGGTATGGATGGATTCTCTATGAGTTTATTCAAGGCTTGTTGGGACATCATCAACCTCAATCTTTTGTCTGTTTGATATTTTTTTACAGGAATACCTTCTAAAGGAAATCTTAACATCTTTTACTGCACTAATTCCAAAGATTCAAAACCTTCAATGTTTGAATGATAATCACCCATTTATCTGATAGGAAGTATATATATAATTATTGCAAAGTTATTGATAAGAAGATTAAAGAATATCATTGGTAAGCGTGTTTCGTTCAACCAATATATGTTCAACCCCAATAGAAGTATGCTAAATGGAGTAGTTTTGATAAATGAGTTGGTGCACTTTTCTAGAAGAAACAAGAAAAAGTTATTTCTCTTCAAAGTTGATTTCGAAAAGGCTTTTGACTCAGTTTATTGGGATTACTTGTTGTATATTCTTAAGTGTATGAGGTTTTGAACCAAATGGATTAAATGGATAAAGGCTTGTGTCTGTTCCAACTCTCTCTATTTTGATAAACAGAAGTATAACTGTGGATTTTCACTTCCCTTTCCTTTTCATTCTTGCAATTGAAGGTTTAACATGGTTGATAAGAAATGTTTGCTCAAGCCTTTCTATTCACCCATTCAAGTTGTCTTCTAATATTGAATTTGATTTGCTTCAATTTGTATATGACACTTTAATTACGTGGGAGGCCTCTTAGGAAAGCTTTTGGTCTATTAAAGTAGTGCTTCATAGTTTCGAACAAGTGTTGGGCTTGAATGTTAACTTTCATAAAGCAAAATTCTAGGTTTCAATGTGGATTCAAATTTTTTAAATATTGTGTGATACGGTGGGAGAACTGACTTGAGATTTTGCGTTTGTGTTCGCACTTGTGCGATTTAGCAAGATTCGCCACCGACTTTTTATTTATCCTAAGGAAAGGTTAAAAAGCATAGGAAAGACCTTTGAGATGTTTTCTTGGGTTCGGGGGGTAGATTATGAAAAGGGAAGGTGCTAGCACCCTTTTCATCCATGGTTTTCCATGGGCTCTTAGTTACTTGTTTTTAGATCACTTGCCTTTGCTTTTTCGTTGTTTGAAATGGTGCTTTGTGTGTGTGGTTTTGAAAATGCTTTGAAAAAGAGGCCTTGTCTAGGCAACCTTTGTAATGATTCTTGTTCGAATATATACAAAAGTGTGTGTCTTTTTGAAAAGATATTTCAATGTTTTGAAAGTTGTTTTGAAATTGTTTTGAAGTTGTGTTGTGAAGTGTGTTTGAAAATGGCAAGGATGTTTTTGCAAGTTTTGACCAAGTAACTAATAGTTGTCTACCCTATTTTACTCAAAGATCTTTCTTATGTTTTTTTAACCCTTTTGATAGTGTTATTTCACCATTGTATTTGGCGAACAACCTTGTGTTAGGATGTTAAACGGGACAGGCGTGGGTCATCATATACAATCATTGAAAGCAACTTGTGAGACGCTCTAGCAATTTTGTAAGGGACAAGATTGTTTTATCGAAGGCAACATCGAGGGTCATCGAGGGACTACGATCTTTGTTCATCGAATGGGCATTTTCTAGAGTGTCTCATACTCGAGGGACATGATTTATATTTTTCGAGGCAACAAGCGAGGTTACCCTAGAGGTGCAAGTGTGCATCGTGTTTGTCAATTTCATGCATTTATCTTGTATTAGGTTATCTAGCGATTGATTTTAGATTTTCACATACAAACCCTAATCTCTAATCATGGCATATTTGAAAGCATAAAGTGCGAGAATTAAATTCTAAGTTATTACAAAAGAGTATTCGGGGATGGGGGTACAATTATTTACAAATGGGGATGAATCTCACATGAATAATAATGTCCAAATATTATGTGTTACAACCAAATCGAACCGTCGCCATTCAATGTAAAATTATAACAAATTAAGGAAAATCAAAGAACTATGAGATGCATGTATTTATTTACAAATAAATAAAATTTTAACCTAATAAAGATTTAAGTATGATTATTATTATCTTTTGTGTTTTTATTAATTGTGTAAAAGGAAAAAATTTTAGAAAGAAAAATTATTTAAATTAAAGTTTCTATTATTTATGTATTTTATTAAATGTAACAAATGTTTAAAGAAAACTATATTAAGAAAATTTAAACGAAATTTTAATGTATTTTTAGTTTTATTATTTAACAAAAGAAAAAAAAGAAACAAATTATTAAAAATGAAAATAGAGAGAAGTATTTTTTTAAAAATTTAAAAAGAAAAAAAGATAATGGGCCTTATGGAAATGTTTTTGGATGGCCCAAAGGAGAATAAATTAAGATAGAAAGAAAATGAAGGGGGGGTGTAGGAATAAGGGCTTGGGCTTGGCACAGTATGGGGCGGGTCAGGCCCAGAATGTTGTTGCACAAAGTTTTGTTAGGGTTGATGTGTGCATTCTCAGAATTTAGGGTTTGCACGTTTTGGCCACAGCGGCGCCTCCTTCTTCTCTCGTTTCTCTCATTTTTCTCAGGCCATGGTTCTGACACTCTTCCTAAGCCCAGCTACTGGAGCGCCACCCTCCTCCACTCTCTACCTTCTCTTTACAGCAGCCTATGGTTCTTGCTTGTAAACGGTATGGTTTCGTTTCAATCGTGTTTTAGGATTTTTACAGTTTTGTTTTCGTTTTGCTCTTGCATGTTTTAATCTATGGTTGTTATAATGTTTACATGTAGTAGAGGCTTGAGGGACGTACCTTGAGTGTTTTGTTCTATAAAATGGAAGGAGAGGGATGTGAGACCGGCCCGTGGCGCTCCCAGGAGGCTAGGCGGAGGAAGAACGTGATGATGATTGCTTTTCTGGTATCTCTGTTTCTTTGACTTCTTTTTGAATGTTTGATGATGAGGTTGTTCTGAGAACTGTTGTTGTTTACTTTTTCTCTTCCTCTCTCTTTGTTACTGATGCTTTGATGATGAATGATTCTGACAAAAAGCTAGCTTTGAGTTTGTTGCTTTGTTTCTGTTGATGATGATGAAAAAGAAATCTGAAACTTTACTTGCTTCTGAATCTCTCTTTTTCCTTGTTAATGATGAGCTTGATGATTAACTTAGCTTCTGAAAGCTGCTTGTTTGAACTGAGCTTGATGATTAACTTAACTTCTGAAAGCTGCTTGTTTGAACTGAGCTTGATGATTAACTTAACTTCTGAAAGCTGCTTGTTTGAACTGAGCTTGATGATTAACTTGTTTTTTTTGTTAATGATGAAAATGTGTTCTGAAACTCTATATTGTTTTACTTCTAAAACTCTTCCTCTCTCCTTGTTGACCCTGATGGTTTGATGATGATGAATCTGAAATCTGAAACTATTGTTAGTTTGTTGTTAGTGATGAAGAAAATTCTGAAACTGCCTTTTTGTTGGTTTGAACTTGTTGGTGGTAGTTTTGGTGAACTTGAGTAAGCTTGGCTAGCAGGTTTATGCAGGTTTTGTTATAGCTTACAGTTTCAAATGCAGGCTTGGTTTGGGCCAGCTGGTTTACTAGCTTGTTTTGTTTGACCTGCAGTTTTGTTACTAACAGGCTTATGGTTTTCAGGTTTTGAGCTAGCTTGCAGTGATGTAGTTTTACAAGCAAGTTTTGTAAGCTTGTGTTTTGAGCAGTTTATGCAGGTTGGGTTGTAGCTTATGCAGGTTTGTGGTTTGTTTGAGTTGCAGGCTGTAAGTTTTGGTTTTGCAGGCTTACAGGCTTGTAAGTTTGGACAGGTTTGAGTTGTTTTGGCTAGTAGGTTTGCTAGTAGGTTTGCTTGTGTTTTGTGCAGGCAGGTTTGAAGGTTGTTTGTGTTTACTTGCAGGTTTGCAGTATGGAAAGCAGGTTGAGGAGTTTGGTTTTTACAGGTTTTGACTTGCTTGATTTGCAGCTTATGCATATTTTTGCTCTATGTCTTCTCCTCCCCTTTGGACTGTTATACAGTCTCTCTTTTTATATCTTTTTTTTTTTGCTTCCTTTACTGTCTTTGACAGCCTGCCTTTAGCCAAAACGGCAAAACCTCTTCACTAGGTCTTCTCTTTCTCTCTCTCTCTCTCATAAGAATTTTTATTTGCTTATTATATTTAATTCTGAAAAGTTTGTCTTAGGCTGGAAAGTGATGATGGCTTTGACAAGTCTTCTTGCTTGTAATTTGGTTTATCTCTGCATTGTTGTACTTTTGACTGCATGTTTCCTGCATTGTGTACTTTGTTGCTTTTGCTAGTTGCCATGCTTCTTGTAACTCAGTTTTGACATGCTTGGTTACTGCATTTTGAAACTCAGTTTGCAGTATAGTTTGCTTTGTATGCAACCTTGTACCTTTGTATTTGAACCATGTTTTTGAATCTAGTTTGACATGCTTGCGTTTTATATCTTTTATTTTTCTCTCTGTGAACCGAGAAGAGCGATCTTCTTGTGATTTGCAGAGGGGAAAATAAAATATGATGAACATAACATTCTGATTCCAGCCAGCAAACTTTAATGATGATTTCTTTTCTTCTGCTTGAAAATTCTTTTCAGTTAATTGTGCTAATTTCTTTTCTTCTGTCTTTTGCAGGTAAGTAACAGTTGGATGATAGAGGAAGCAATAGAAGTCAAAGATCTTAGGAGATTAGGCTTAGAAATAGATAGATTTTTTCATTTGTTGTAAACCAAAATTATTGTAAATACTGTAAGTTGTAAATTTACAATATTCAAACAAATTTTGTAACAACATTTGAAGTGAATAAACAGTCTTTATCCAAAAGAAAATTCTACTGTCAAATATCTTTTCCATCTTTCCCTTATGTTTATTTAATTATTTAAGACTCTTAAATCAAAAATAATTGAAACTGTGTCTCAATAATTCTAATCCAAATGAAATAAATAATCAACAAACTTTGCAGTCTCGCAACCTTGCATCAATCTCAATACGCATGGTATTCCAATTAACATATGCATTATACAGTTAAATAAACAAGCATTCCATTAAACGGTAAACCTTTCACTCCACTAATCAAGCAGATGCCTTAATGTTCCAAATAAAAAGTCTCAGCTCTTATCCCAGATAATCAGGTTTTGAGAACAATTAGTAAATTTGAACAAGCGTGGAAACAATGTAACAGTTAACTGAATTTCTGAGGATTCAGTTTCTTCTGAGAAATGCGAGCGAAAACCCTAATTCCGGATTTGTTGCCAAAGAAAAGTCTGCTTGATCAATTCCTGAGCCAATCTCAAAAATCAGAGAAGAATCCTAGGATTGTGATTTTCTTGTGAAAAAGGGAGGGCAAATTTTGGGGTACAACAAATTGCATTTGACTTTTTTATCTTGTGCAATTAATCCTTTTCATTTCTCCTTTATAGGCATCCTAATTTGTGTTAATCCTCAAAGGCGTTCATCCCGAGAACCGGTTCTTACAAAGCTTCGAAATCGGTCATCCTCATGAAAAGGAAAATTTATCTATCTTGGAGGTCGGGTAACTCTCTAAAATTTTGTTTTGAAATCAATTCCTCTTTACTTACTCTCCTTTTACAAAGCTCCAAAAGTAGTGGTTCAGGATATCATCAGAATTCAAAGAGCTTTTCTTTGCATTAACAAAGAGAAACATCAAAGAATCAACTGAGTTTCATGGTATTTAATTTGTAAATCTAAAAGTGAAGGGGACTTAGGGGTAAAACATTGCGAATTATTCAACATTGCAAATTATTCAACATTGTGAATTATTCAACATGGCTCTTTTACATAAATGACCTTGGAATATTCTCTCTGATGAAACTTCAATTTGGTATCCCTTACTATCCTTTAAATACAGTGACATCAAGGATTTGCTTCTTGTTCCTTCCAGGCCAATTAACTATATAAAATCTTCCATTTGTTGGAGAGATCTTAGGATCTCCTTAGGGTCTTTTGATGTTTATTCAAACTGGTTTGCCAATGGAATTTCTTGTAAATTGGGAAATGGCTCATCATTAGACTTTTGGAGGCACATGTGGTTAGGACCATGTCTTCTGAGAGATTAATTTCCTAATTTGTTTGCTTGTGTGCATAGTTTCAGATCCAAATTCATGAATTTAGGAAATTGGATTAATGGCCTGTGGAATTGGTCTGGGTTTTTTAATCCGAATATGCTTTAAAGCTCAACAAGGACTGATTGGGTTAACCTTTATCACAACCTAATTAACATTGACCCCATTCAGGAAAGTCCGGATAAATTTGTTTGGTGGTGATCTAGCAGGCTTCTCGGTGAAATCTGTTTTTTCAAGACTGACCAAGTTATCTAGTGCATGCCCTCATCAATACCACGATCTTTCAGTTACTTTAAAGATAGTTTGGCAATCAAATGTATAAAGTAATATTTAGGTTTTTGTTTGGAGACTTCTCCTCCTTAGGCTTCAAACGAGAGACGAACTAGCGAAGCGTGGAGTAATTTTCGGAGAGCATAACCTTGTTTCTCCTTTGTGTTTAAGGTTATCTGAATCTCATTCTCATCTTTTTCTCTTTTTCTTTGGGATTGAGTTTGTTTGGTCCCAAATTTTTGATTGGATAGGTCTTTGCAAGTTTCTTCCTAGTGCGTCCATTTAGATCACTTGCTGGATTTCACATCCTCTCTAGAAGGAAGGATTAAGAAGAAACTCATGTTACTGATTTGGTCAGCAATTAATTGATCAATTTGGTTAATTAGGAATGAAACTCTTTTTAAGGGTGACTATAAAGGAGTCGTATAAATTGTTTTCTTGGCCAAATCACTTTCGTGTGATTGGTTTGAATCAAGATATAAAGATACTTGGTGTGTGATAAGAAATATTGCTTTATGGATTCAATCCAATGTATTCGTTAGCCTAATTGCCTTTCTTTTTTTATTTCTTTATTTTCTTTTGTATTGAGTTGAAATACCACTTATCCTCATATTTTTTTCTTCCGTTTTCACGATCGGTGTCTAATCTTGTATAGCGAACTGACTAATCTGGTTTCGGCCTCGAGCGAGGTCAGGATGGTTTAGCCAAGCGTTATTCTCACCTAAAAATTGAACTCGATATTCTCCGAATATTGTCCTTAGTAGGAGCTCCATGAACCCACTGAAACCAAACACTTGATTACTTATCCTCATATTTTTTGTTGGATTTAGCTAAGCAGTTTCGATCCACATAATAAATCGACTAATCTGATTTCATGGTTCAAAGAGACGACTCACTCAACAAACTTTATTTCCACCAAAAATCAAACTTAATTACTTATCCTCGTATTTAATAAAATGAATTTGCTTATAAAAAAAGTAATTAAGGAGTGAAGCATTAAAAATTTGAATGAAGGACTAAATTACAAATAGGTAAAATACATTATTTGTGAGGAAAGCTAGTTTAGCAAAAAAAGAAAAATTTGCAACAACTGGGAAACGAAGCGTTTTGATTTTTTAGAACATAATGAATCTTCATCGTGGATCTTGTTGCTTCATCTTTCATCTTCCTTTCCCGTCAATTTAGGGTTTTCAGAAATTCAATTTCTCTTCCTTCGTCAACGTTCACTCTCTTGACACGATACTTCGTTACGGTAACATCTCTCTATTCCTCCGTTGTTCCTTTTTCTGTGAAAAAATGTTGATCAGAACATTTGAATTTGTTGCTAATTGTGTTACTTCCGCAACTTGTTTACGTCAATTTCAATGAAAGTTTGAATATAGAGATTTTATCCGAGTGTTATTATTACTTTTTTGAATTTTATATGTATGAAACTTGTTGGAATACGAATTGGTTTTTCTTTGCCTGTAACCTACATTGTGAATTGTGATTTGTATCTGTATTCGATGATTACGATTGCTGTTAATTGGAAGTTGTACTAGTGAGTTGCAGCTCATGTGTGATTTTTGATTTTAGATTTTCTTATAGTTTTAGTTTTTGTTGATGTTCTCAGGGAACTGGTCTTTTTGGTGCATTTGAATTTGAATAGCATGAGCATGTGAATGAAGAAAAAATGCAGGCCGATGCGGAAATCTTGATTGATTTTAACACTCAGCTTCATTCTGAGACTGTTGTTTCTGTTCAAAATGGGGATCCTGGTGTTTCAACATCTCTTGCAAATGATGTCGTCATGCCGCAGCAGCCGGGTTAGCTTTTGGCACTTGATTTTCGTTTGATTTTTCTAGTATGTCGTGGTTGTTGAGAGATGTTAAATGTTTTACACTTGTTTGTAATTTTGTTGATATATAGCTCCGAAAAAACCAACAAGGCAGTGGGCTGCTTGGACTCGTCAAGAGGAGGAAAGCTTCTTCACCGCATTACGACAAGTTGGAAAGGTACACTTATCTGCCATTATTACCTTTGGTGTTTTTATTTCTTTTGGTACCATACAACTGCTAATTGCAATATCCTTGAATGTAGAATTTTGAGAAAATCACTTCCCGTGTACAAAGTAAAAACAAGGATCAGGTATGCTCTACAAAGATTTTTACCCTTTCGGTTATCCCATTCGCCTCCCAATTTTAGTGTTTAGTTTCCTCTCCATTAATACCTTGGCTTGTTTTTCTTTTCTCACCCCTCTTTTTCTTTATCGGGATGACTTACAGGTTAGGCATTATTACTATCGGCTTGTGAGACGGATGAACAAACTTCTTGGTCCAGAATTATGCCTGGATGCCAAAAATTCAAAAGATACCAATGCGGCAATGCTTCGCTGGTAACACACCTTTACTTCGAGTGGTTGTTAATTAAATAGGTTTATACATATAATGGAAGATATAGACTATATATTTTTGCATCAAGTTAAATTCATTTCTGATTCAGAAACCATATGATATGAACACAAGGGGAATGTTTAAAAGTGCATATTCCTTTAAAAAGAACCATTTAGGTGTCTGATCTGAGTTTAAGTTTGATGCTCTAAGTGTGGAATTATTTTATTATACAATCGCTCAATTATATATTGCTTCACCAATTTTAAGAGTTTGACTATGTTAGCCACTTCATGAGATGTCAAGTAAGCTTGTTATATAACATCACAACTCATAGAAACTTGGAAAACAGTTTGAACTGTTGAAATAAAGAAGAGTACCATAGATGCATAGGTAGCCCTCTGTTGAAGACTATAATTGGTTGAGAAATGAAGATGAAAAGAGAATGCTACTTGGGAAGTTCTGCACCAAAACCTCTCAGCCATCCCAAGTACATTCCATTTCAGTCAATTTGCATCTGCTTACCTTTTTCCCCCTCCTCTTGTTTTCTTCCTCTCTTATGCTTGTAACATCCTTACTGATTTCTTATATGTTTCTTCACTAGTCTCTGATAGTACCCAACCCCTAATTAGTAATCAGGAATGTTTATGGGCCGAAGAACTAAGAGGGTCAGGTCTGGTTAGTTTTGTATGTAATCTTTTCATTAATGAGAATTCTATTAACACTGAAAAGGATTGAGTGAATTAGTTTGTTGGTTAGTCATTGTGTTGTGGTGAGTGGCCACTCAAATACCTGGGGAGTTTTATCATAAGCTCTTTGTTCTCCTTTGCACTTGAGTTTCTTTGTCTAAGGTAGGGGAGTGTATCAATAAAACTCTCCCATTTCTTTCTGAAATTGCTATTTTACTTAATTAGTACCTCATCCTCCTTCTATGTGGTCAGCTTCTTTCAGTTTGAGGACCCTTGCTGAGCCAATTTTCTCATTATATGTGAGTCAGTTATGTCATGCTATACTGGCTTATACTACTTCTTCTACCTGACCCCCGGTAAATGGCTGAGTATTTATCAGCAACACATCATTGGGTTATGGTGTAAAATCTTTTTACGTCGACAATGAATTTTCTTGTTATATCATGTTTTAGCAATTTCCTTAAGAATTGGGGTATATTTTGCAAGAAAAATAATTTGGGGTGTATTACTATTGTTCTCAGAATATTTTGCATTGAAAGTTTCTCACGAATTATAATATGGCCTCTTCTCAAGTTATCTGACCCGTGACAGGTGGTCTTTATTGGAAAAGTATAGCTGCAAAGCCTCAAAGCTTCACCTAAAGCCCCGAAGGTTTAAAATATTTTTAGAAGCCTTGGTCAGTACGCTGTTTGCTTTTGTCCGGAAACTTTTACATTTTTATGTTAAATGTGCTCAGTATGTGCTGGAGCTGACCTATATTATTCTTTCATGAAGGAGCACCAACTTTTGAAGGACCGGAAGAAGAATGTTAGGAAGCGACCTTTGCAGGGTGGAAGTTGTCAATCTCCTGCTCTTAACACTATCTCAAATCAATCAAATACCCGTGCAGTTAAAATGATTCTTGTTGAGAGTCAAAATATCATAAAACTTGGACCTTCAAAACCACCATTGAAGCGCAATGCGAACATGGGTGTTAACCGCAGTAATGCTAAGGGAGATTCAAATAACTCAAAACCTACAAGGCAGCGAAAGAAATCTGGTGATTCTTCTTCAATTCCTTTCAAAATCTTTTACCAGTTTTATGTTTTAAACTAGTTTTCCGTTTCATGATGATATATTAAATCTAGGTGTTATTTTTTTACTTTTAATGTAAAAAGTTTGATATATCTCTCTATCAGCTACGATCACAGCAGCTGCATATAGAAAATGGGAGAAGGCTGCAATTGCTGGCGTCTCTTTAGTTGCAGATGCTGCTGAGCATTTGGAACGAGCTGCCACTGTTAAAGAGGTTGAACATGACCAGGAGAATCCAGGTAGCTTTCACAATGGAGGTATTTATATTTGGTCCTTGCTCCTATTGGAACTTTCGAGGGATCAACTGTGACATAATTCTGGTTTATCAATGTTCATTACAGGGAAAAAATGTTCTGATTCTGCCGATCATGTCCTTCACTCTTTACCCACATTTCCACAAAATCACTGTGTTGATAACAATGTACAGAATATTGTGAAACTTAAGCTCCAATTGTTCCCAATTGATGAACCCACTCGAAGAGTCTTGGAAATGGTGAGTATGAGAGAAATCCAAAAGAATCATACTGTAGCAATGTGAATGTGCTTCTGATTTCTGGAAACAATTATATATTTATGGTCCCTCTTTATTTTCCCGTAGGAGAAGCATAATCCATACTTGGAGCTTACACTTAGTACACGGAAGAAGATATCATCAATTTTAGAACATCTAAACCGCAAGTGGGGCAATTCAAGCATAGCAGTTGGAGAGTTGATGCTTTTTCCTTATGTTGTTCAAAAGGAAAACTTGAATAGTTATCAAAGATGGAATCAGGAATCTAATCTTAGTGCCGCAGATATATATGCAGTGATAGGAAGTCCACCTATATTCCGTTTGAGGTATCTCTTTTCCATGTTGCCATCTTGGTTTTATTCATTATTTATCCAAAGTACATGTGAAAATCAGTTGTTCTATTATTCATTGGTTAGTAAATTAGTCAGGCTTTATTATATTGAAATTTTAAATTGACGAGGCAAATGTAAACAAGATGGTTTTAAATGTAGATTTAAAGAAATTTATAGAATATTTTGGTATTCTGTACAGACAAGTGAGTGTGCTATAAATGAAAAACCATGCTGGTTATCTTTCCTTCGTTACGGGAGAGATTGAAGGTGTTGTTTTTAGTGTTTTGAGCCCTTGTTTGTAGTACAAAGTAATTCAAAATTGAAATTTGGGAAACATGCTAAAGAGACGAAAACTACTTGAAGGTCTTGTGTTCATGGAATACAATTTTATCAGACTACAAGGGATAGATACAAAATAAAGCATATGAATGGAATTTGAAAAAACTTGGATTCTAGCTTTTAAGTCATTGGTTTCGGCGGAGACAAAATTGAGATTGAATTTTCATGTGGGAAGTTAGGATACTTGTAGTAATGTAAAGGTTGTATAAATTCAAATTTTTAAATAAGCAGTTACTCCTTTTTTCTTCACTAGGAAAAGCACATAACTTTGTGCTGTAGTTAAAGTATAGGGTAAAACTCATGTTTTGATATTTCCAGATCAGAATATGATCATATTTGCGTATCTTTTTGAAGGTATGGTTGGTTCTCTAATGCTGAGCACGGGACATTAAATATGCAAGCACCTGTAGCATCCAGCTACATAGTTGGACAATCCAAAAATGGTGGTGATAATATGATGGATCAGATTGTGAATTTGGCATCGCTTCCTATGCCATCAACTAATAATTACTATACGGAGTGCTCTGTAGATTGTGGAACATCCATGAACAAAAACAATTCTCTTACCTCTACTTCAACTTATTTGCCTAACAGTAGAGACAAAAGTATATACCAGAATACAAGTACTGAGGAACCTTGTGGACCTACAACCCATATATCATTGCATGGAAAAGATGTGACAGATGGAGCTGTATCTAGACAGTTGGAAGACATGGTAATTGTCATCCTATTGTATCTTGCTCGCTTACACCTAGATCTAAGCTGCTACTATAGATTTTCAATTTTTATGTCATGAATCTTGAAGTTCCACTTTAGTGTACTTTGTCGGCTCAAATGGAAAATATTTTCATTTCCTGTGGACCGTGGTCTTTACCATCTCTCTGTTTTTTAGATTGTTATGTTTAATTTAACACTGTTACATTTCTGTCCGGTGTATTAATCTACTGTTTTTGTTTGGTTTGTTAAGTTGCATAGTCTATCACTGTTATTAGCATCTGTGTCTATTATGCCATGATTTAAGCTTTAAGCCTCTTTTACGTATTCAGGAGGAGTTGAAATCAAACAGTGGATCTGGCCTGTCAGCTGGTGACTGGGCTGACAGCCTCACCAACATTAGTGTGGGGGACCTACTATCAGGAGTCTCCCAGGATCTCAATGATAACTGCATTGATCCTCTTATTGCTGAGAATTGTCGCAGTGTTCATCAAATTCCTTTTAGTAGCGATTCTTTTGATGCTGCTATTGCTGCTCACATATCTAGACACCAAGACAAGATGGGACAATCAACTATGGTATCTCATATGTCATCCATCTGGGATGCTGAAGAAACATGTGATGCTTTCTCATTTAAAAAAGATCCTATTCGTCATGAAGATGCTCCTTGTTTTTCTCTCATTGCTGCTTTAGGTTCTGATAAAAAGGTTCTTGAAAGAAGCTTTGAGAATTTGGATAAGGTAGTATTTCTTGATTTTGTTATCTACTACTGAACGTTTCTTGCGAAGTATAATAAGGTTTACCTTTCATTCTTTTTATTGTAGCTTTCACCTGAAAAAGAGAACCTTGTGGATGATATTGCTCAAACAGACCATATGCCTATGGACAGTTGTGAGGCCGGTGCAGATATCAAGTACCATTTAGCAAAGGATTTTACCGGGCTAGCGGATATGTATTGGGTACTTTCCTTTCTTTACTCCATTTTGCTGTTTAGATTTTCTTGCAGCAAGACAATTTGGAGGAAGTTTATCTCTGGCAGTTGTCACAAACTTATCTGTAATACTTTGAACATGCTTGCATTTAAACTACCAATCAAAATAATAAGTTGACGACGATAAAATACTTGAGCAATTATATTTATTACGATGGTTGAACTATTACTTTGACTTTTAAAACATTTCCATGGGTGTTGTCTTATTTACTGAAGCTTTTGAAGCACTTCATACTTTTGGCCTTATTTATCCCCACCCCACCTCATCTTTACTTTTTTTTTTTAAACATGTGGCAGCCTGATTCTTTGGGACCGCTGGATTTGGAAATACCATCTACTAAGTACAACACCGATGATCCAATTTTAAGTGATAGTCTTAGTGGACTGAATCGCTTGATAGCCAGCAGCTTGGATGCATTCCAGAATTGCTCCTTTTTTGGGATTGACAAGAAGGAAACACCATCGACAGTTGAGACTCAAGAAACTGCCACTCTCTCAGATTTTAAAATTGGAAGTGGTGTTTGAGACTCTACATGGAACTGCTTCCTGGTAACATTTTCTAATTTCGGCATTTTGTAGTTTGTCGTGAATAACTTATTTCCTTAAACTAACTTGAGGTGTGCATGCCGAGAAAATGGTTTGAGCCACTCCAACTCCTGATGTATATGTTTGTCTATTTTGGGTCACTTCCCTATATGTACAAAAAAATGGGCATAGAAGGATCTATATTGTATCCGTCTCGCGGGGTTCTGTCAGCTTTTGTATAAATATCCCTTTACCAAGTAAACATGTCCTTTTCTTTTATTCTTAGCTTCTGTACATTGTACTTTAAGAAGGAAGTCTTGTTACCCAATGGCATAAACCCGATTTTAGAAGTTAACGGACCTTTTTTTCTTCTTTCACGGGCATGCTAATGAAAAACTATCAATTATGTGTTAATTTGATTGATCATATTCTCTCCTTTAGTTATTTGCAGGACAGAACTTAGGCTGGGTACATAACTTAAATGTATTGATCTGATTTTAAGTGCTATGATTTTTTTCAGTCTAATTTTCTTTTTGAACAAATTGTGTCTTGTTCAATTTTGCCTACAATAAGGGAAGCAATAACTTTTTGGAAGGCAGGTCATTCTATTAATATTAAAGGCGTAAAATTATAAATACATTTTTATGTTAAATTTATAAAATTACAAAAAAGCTATACAAAGTGGAAGAAGATTGGGACCTAAATTTGGGGCTGCTAAGTTTCATGATTATGGCAGTGCCAACTTTGTTTCTATGTGGGTATCTCATTGGCCAATGGATGAAAGCCATTACTAGATGTAGCAGTGGCTCGAGATTGCTCTCTTGTTGGCTCAGTTGCTCACAAATCGCTTCTAGTTGTGATGACATTCAATTGAAAAATTTATTTCTCATGTTATGATGATAGTTAGGGTATAGGTGATTCTGCAGCTGAACTTCTTTTTGTGTTTCCATTATGTTATTGGGACTGATTAAGTGGGGAAGGGCTAAGAAGCTCCATCTTGGTACCGCAATTTCAGTCCCTATAACACCTTACCGACCAAGTGCACCGACTTCTGCCTTTCACTTGTTTCTTTGATGGGTTTGACATTGATTGCTTCTATCGACACTATAGATATGCACATTGTTGCTCGTCCAGCTAGGACCTAGTGAGTGTTGGAGGTTAGGAGAGTATCACCTTTAGTTGAGATAGAGATGCTTTGCACTTTTGTGTCCATTTGAACTTCATCTTTTTCTCCATTGACTTGAAGAATAACAAGGCATGTTAAGTTGACCTTGTCCAACCTCTGAATTCCCTTCTTAGAGGCTGGGGTAAACATTTCTATCATGACATTACACTTATTTAGTTTAACTTCAATTCCTTTCTTGGTGAGATAGTTTCCTAGCAACTTTCCTTGTCAAACCCCAAAGGGACATTTCTCTAGATTCAATCTCAAGCTGTAGCGACAGATCTCTTGAAAGACTTCCTCTAAATGTATCATGTGACTTGATTCAAGTCCAAACTTTAAGATCATGTCCTTGGTGTACACTTTGAGCAAATCTTTGATATGATTCTTAAACACCTTGTTCATCATCCTCTATCCTTTGATAAGCTGTGTCTGCATTTTGAAGATTGAAAGGCATTACTTTGTTGCACATTTTCATGAACGATCAAAGTTTATGAACGACAAAAGTTTGGTTATAATCGCAATATGTGTTCCCATGACGTTGTGCCACATAAGTGTGTACTTGAATTTAATGATAGTTGATGGCAAGCTACTTCGAGATCTATTCCCGACATCTCTGCGGCTATCCATATGAATAGACTATTGTTCCTTTCAAGGTACAAAGTCAGTTGTGCCTTGACCTCTTGGAGGAGATCAACTTTAATTTTTGCCGTCTTCTTGGAATTGTCCCTTAGTTGGATAATCATGAAACCACAATCTAGTTCAAACTTCTCAAGCTTTTTACTCGCCTTGAGGGGAAGGGCTGTTCCATCCTTTTAGCAGCTGGAAATGCGCCTGAGCTCCAATTGCTCATTAAAGTCAACAAGATTTACTTTGTAGGCGGCTGGCGACTTTCTCACATATTGCTCGAGCTTTCTAATCTGTATGTAGCCTTTAACTTCACATTTATCTCGTGATTCTTTCGAGTCTTGTTTTGAATACCCTGTATGTCACTATTGATGCTAGCTTCTATTTGCCCTTACGATGACTTATTCAACGATTATGATAGTTTAACGGTTGTTATACTGACCGATAAATTAGTAAGTGTACTAATTCGTCAATGTAGTAATAGTAGGGAAATTCTCTAAATATCGATCTCGAGGACTACGTATAAGTACCGAGTTTAATGTGTGGTTCAATTAAACAAAAACTTAACGTTCAGTTTGGTTTGGTTTGAAGTTTAACCTTACAATTATAAAAATTAAGCAGAATGTAAATTATGACTTTTTTTACTAGTATTAGCAACATGCTAGGGGTAAGTGTGTGATTTGCCCCTGTAATACCCTTGTCTCTTAATTTCTTCAACACGTTCATAACCTTCAACTACCGGATCTTTAGGTTATTTTTCCTAAGTCCTTAGTGGAAAAATCTTCGGTCATTCATCCTAATACCCAGGTCCTTAGAGAATTATGATGACACAAAACCTTTATTTTATCAAGATTCACCTGGTAACTATATGGTATCCCTAGTCCTAAGTGATATCTAATATCCTTAATTGTTAATAGTAAATCAATCCTAATTGGTCCGATATGGAAAACATTAAACACATTGAACAATTAAATTGAAAAGAAACTATTGTATTGCAATCAAGAATTCAAATTCATTACAAAAGGCAAACAAGGACACCCCCTAGCATTATAGAGTTTAGCTACTCATAATATCGTTCAAAAGAATTTCAGATTCAATAAAAATAGACATTACAATTCGTGGTGAACTTTGATTTTCAATGGCTTCCGCTAATGAAAAGTCTTCCGTCCTCCAACAATTGCATAAGCTCCAATCTCAAATCTTTCGAGTTCCTTGTGTGCAAAAAAGGTCCCGTTTTTGTCGTGAAAACTTCTATATATAGTGAAAACCCCCTCGACTATAATTGAAAAGTACCAAAACACTCTTTTAGATCAATCTCTGGGCAAAAATTATAAAAACACCAGAATCAACGTCACTAGCCAACACGGGCTGTGTAAGGCAACACTGGCACCCGTGTTGGCCCGCTGCCTTTTTTATTTTCTTCTCAAGTCCCAGGGGCAGCAACACGGCCCGTGTCAAGCGACACGACCACCCGTGTTGCACCCCTGATTTCCTCTGAATTTCCAATGCTGCAGGTGTTGTAACACGGGCAGTGTTTTGTGACACGGACGCCCGTGTTGCTCAACTGATCCTTCATATTATTTTATCTCGAACTTCTGGGTCTTTGCCACTTTCTCACACCGCGTCTAGTAGACCTTCAACTTGAACCTGAGGACAATCCACAACCAACATACCAACGCATAAAATGGAAAAATAATTTGAAATAACTCAAAAACCATAAAATGCACTACATGTTTCTTCTTCACTGGAATTTTGAGACCCTGCAAAATAGCACTACATGTTTCAGTTAGCATTACCGCCTCAGTGTCGATGAAACGCTTCTTGGATATGATGTCTTTCATGAATTTGGCATAGATATGCATCTGTTCCAGAGCTTCAACAAAAGGAATATCAATCTCAAGTTTCTTGAACAATTCCAAGAATTTCTCAAATTTTTTCTCATTAAGATCTTTCTTTCTTGTTCTTGTAGGATAAGGGAGATTGATTTTTGGCTTTTTATCTTTCTGTTTTTCCTTCTAAACCACTGGCTGTATAACCACTTCCCCAGCTTGTTTCGAACCATCTCTGATTTCTAAATCCACTTCTAACAAACCTTCCTCTTCTATTGCCTCTTTTTCAACATTTCTCGCTAACTTACCGCTCTGAGTCACAACTGCATTCACTATGTGATTATCTCTTAGATTTGTAACTATTGCACCAGGCAAAGTGTCGGGTGCTTGAGTATTTGCTAGCTGTTGTGCTATCTGACCCATTTGAACCTCTAGATTTTTAATGGAAGCGGAAGTGTTTTTTTGGTTGTTTCATGTCTCTTCTTGAAACTAAATATTGTGAGCTACCATCTTTTTAATGGCCAACTCCCAATCTGCTTTCTTAGGGACTTGCTGTTGTTGTTGCTGATATTGGTTCTGATATTGACCTTGACCTTGTTGTTGAACATTCCCTTTCTGATCCCTCCAGGCAAAGTTTGGATGATTCTTCCACCCCGAATTGTAGGTATTTGAATAAGGATTATTCTGCTTCTAGAATTTTATGTCTTCAATTTATTGTGGAGTTGCAAGACAGTGCATAGTATTGTGTGGTCCACTACAAATTTCACAAATATCATTTTGTGCTTGTTGAACCTGAGCTACTTGTTGAGTACCTAGGTTCAATGCTTTAAGCTTTTTATTAACTTCTAAAACAACTGTTTCTTCAATTCTGAGTTGTTTGTTAGTTTCCAGCTTCAAATTAATTACTCCATATGGCCTGCTTACAACCCTGTCATATAACTCCAAATGCTCAATTGTAGCAATTGCTTCAATTATCTTCTTGATCCTAGTGGTTGTTGAAAAATTTGATGAGCCACCAGCTGCGGTGTCAATCAACTATTTTGTCTTGATTCTAAGACCATTCACAAATATTTGCATCTGCTCAGTCTGATCCAAATTGTGAGTAGGACAAGCCACTAGGAGTCTTTTGAATCTTTTATAGGCATCCCCTAGCGACTCACTCTCTTTCTGCTTGAAATTTAGGATTTAATATCTATTTCTCATGAATACCGACGATAGGAAGTACTCATTCAAGAAAGTCTTTTCCATCTCTTCCCAAGAAGTGATGCTACCATCTGGAAGGGAATAAAACCACTCTTCAGCCTCATCAGCTAAAGTGAACGGAAACATCTGCAACTTTTTCGCTTCATCAATATGTCCATCTATCTTCAAAGTGGTGCTCA